CTGGCTCCAAACTCTGCCTCCAGACTGGCTCCAAACTCTGCCTCCAGGCTGGCTCCAAACTGGCTCCAAACTCGGACTCCAGGCTGGCTCCAAACTCTGCCTCCAGACTGGCCCCAGCCTGGTCAAAATCCTGCTTTTGAGGCAGAAGAGAAGCTGCAGAGCCCGGCAGAGCTCCAGGGAAAGGGGCTTTTTAAGGAGGGGAAAGGAGGAATTCGAGCCAGACAGGGAGGGATGAGGCAGGATTCCTGCAGGATTCCTCCAGGATTCCTGCTGGCCCCGGGCCTGGCTCGGCTCCCACCACCACAGGTTGGACTCGATGATCCCAGAGCTCTTTTCCAACCTGATTTATTCTGTGATTAAAAAATCCAATTCACTCAGTGTAAAACAACTGGTTACAGACACCCCCTGCCCTGCTCCGGACCCGGGGAGACAGGACAGGGATCATTCCAGCCTGGAATGAGGGACACAAGGCAGATTCCAGCTGCTCCAGGGGCTCCCGAGCCCACAGGGACAGGCTGCCCTGGGAACAGTTCTGGGATGTCGGGAGGAAAGAGGGATCGAGGCTGAATGTGGGGTTTGGGGTCAGGAAGGGGGGGGGTGGATCCCAGCCTGGATCAAACGGGGGTTTAAGGGGCACAGCAGGAGCAGCTCAGGCAGGTAAGGCCAGGCAGGGAAACCTGAGCAGGTAAAGCCAGGCAGGTGAACCTGGGCAGGGAAAGCCAGGCAGGGAAAGCCAGGCAGGGAAAGCCAGGCAGGTGAACCTGGGCAGGTAAAGTCAGGCAGTAAAACCAGGCAGGTAAACCTGGGCAGGTAAATTCAGGCAGTAAAACCAGGCAGGTAAACCTGGGCAGGGAAAGCCAGACAGGTAAAGCCAGGTGGGTAAACCTGGGCAGTAAAGCCAGGCAGTAAAGCCAGGCAGGGAAAACCAGGCAGGTAAATTCAGTCAGGTAAATTCAGTCAGGTAAATTCAGTCAGGTAAACCTGACCAGGTAAAGCCAGGCAGTAAAACCAGGCAGGGAAAGCCAGGCAGGTAAAGCTAGGTGGGTAAACCTAGGCAGGTAAACCTGACCAAGTAAACCTGGGCAGGTAAATCCAGGCAGGTAAACCTGACCAGGCAAACCCAGGCACTAAACCCAGGCAGGTAAATCCAGGCACTAAACCCAGGCAGTAAAGCCAGGCAGGTAAATCCAGGCAGGTAAATTCAGTCAGGTAGACCTGACCAGGTAAAGCCAGGCAGGTAAATCTGGGCAGGTAAACCCAATGAGGTAAAGCCAGACAGGCAAAGCCAGGCAGTAAATCCAGGCAGGTAAACCTGGGCAGGTAAAGCCAGGCAGGGAAAGCCAGGCAGGTGAACCTGGGCAGGTAAATCTGGGCAGGTAAAGTCAGGCAGTAAAACCAGGCAGGTAAACCTGGGCCAGGAAAGCCAGGCAGGTAAAGCCAGGCAGGTAAACCTGGGCAGGTAAAGCCAGGCAGGTAAATCTGGGCAGGTAAACCCAACCAGGTAAAGCCAGACATTAAAGCCAGGCAGGTAAACCCAGGCAGGTAGACCTGACCAGGTAAAGCCAACCAGGTAAAGCCAGGCAGGTAAATCTGGGCAGGTAAACCCAACAAGATAAAGCCAGACAGGTAAAGCCAGGCAGTAAATCCAGGCAGGTAAATCCAGGCAGGTAAATTCAGTCAGGTAAATTCAATCAGGTAAACCTGACCAGGTAAACCCAGGCAGGTAAACCCAGACAGGTAAATCCAGGCAGGTAAATTCAGTCAGGTAAATCTGGGCAGGTAAACCCAACCAGGTAAACCCAGACAGTAAAGCCAGGCAGGTAAGTCCAGGCAGGTAAATCTGGGCAGGTAAA